TGCAATTGAATATGTATATTTATTATATATCTATATATAACTATATTTTTATATATGATAAAACAAAATCATTACTATAAGCATAGTATTATCAATCTTTTCTCAAGTATTATTAATCACTGGCCTTAAGTGAGTGGCATTTTGTGTCCTATATCACAAAGTTAATCTGATTAAACCTGAGGGTTTAAAAACTAGATATTTTGAAAGGTATCTGCATATAGCCTTTTCCTTAAAGGAAAAAAAAAAAAGGTATTAGAAATGACATGTCAAAGTGAACCCATATAGGACACTATCTTCAACTAATTGTACTGTTGTTAATGATCATTCACACTTGAAGCCTGAACGGACTGATAACAAGTTTTGTCTGTTCGACATCTGTTTGAAGAAAATTGTAAAAGCAAAAAAGAAGAACATGTATTTTCTTTAACTGGGTTGCTTTTCGTTTCAGAGTTACATAAGTATTGTTTCTCTGTGGGTGTTCATTGGTGCTAATAAAATAACACAAATCAAATAGTTCAGAATTCCAGAAATATGCCATGTTACTGAAATTTGTAGAAATTGAAATGCTTCCAAGACAAGACAAAAAAACAAATTTACCTGCAAGATGACAAGAGCATTTTCTATTGAAAGGTCATCTGAAGGTAAACCTTCACTTTTCCAAACTAACTCCTCACTTTCTGTACACAGGAACCGCCGTAAATCGAACTCTGATAAATAAAAGAGTGTAAGTTTGCGCTAGTATTTATAGTCTGCATAATTTTTAAGCATTTACTACTCCATATACAGTGAAGATTCTAACACAGTGCAAGTCTGTAGATTTCTCTTAAATTTATTATTTTATTGCTTAAACTTATTACTATTGACTAGCTGATGTTATAAAAAAATATTTAATGATGTATTTAACACACATAGATAAAAATGATTACTGAAAAAGCAGAAGCATTCAGGATGCATTGGCAAATTTAAAACAGTTAATTTGAATACATTAATTCATGTAAACTTTTCTTTTTAAGCAAGGACTATGGAGCTAAACCTTAAAAAGTTAGAAGTATTTATAATCTTAATAATCAATAGAATAATCCTAAGAAATAGCCTGTCTGCATATACAAGTATTTATTGACTAAGAAAATGTTGTCACTTTTCATTTGGGAGCACCAAGACAATTGAGACTGTTCATGAGAAGTCACTGGCATTTCTCACTTCTTCAATCAAGTGTAATTACACAGACACACACTAAAAATTACTTTCAAGGCCTGCTGATCTGGTCCATTCATCCAAGCTGGTTGTCCTCTGATCCTCAGGAGCAGCAGAAAGATAGGTAATAAACGCAGCTGCTAACTGAGCTCTTTTAGGCAACGTAGCCAGTTCATCTGTTATCTCTGATACCTTAAAAAAAAAAAAAAGTACAGAATTTATAGGTGCATTGCAAACAAAAACTATGTTAATATTTTTCATCAGTTACTAAAAAGTCAGAATTAAATTTACCTGCCATGGAGAAGATAGTTGAGACAGACTCTCTTCTTGCATTTCAGATATCTATACCCACCTAACCCACAGCAACACACACATGAAAGTATGGGAAAAGTGATTTTTAGCTTTAATATGGACAGACCTTTCTGAGAATTTAGCCACTAAAAATCTATGAATTTGGTGAACAGTTCACCTCGTCACTTATAAGCAACTGGGTAAACAGTATTACAGTAAGAAAAATAAGAAATATGTGACCCTAGTCACAGTCAGCCAGTGAGTACCACTTACAATATGTATACAGATACTAAATACTGTATGTATCTATTACACTTAAAAATGTGATTCACTGCCTTACTTCCATGATAAAATACAGTTATCATACATCTTCAAATAATTTACTTGCACTACAACACCTCTGCTTTGAAATGTTCCAGTATTTTGGAGAAAAGTACAGTATATCAAAATAATATGACTGACATAATTGGTTTGAAGGTACTCACTTTTTTACTTTAATCAAACTGACATTAAAAAAAAAAGCTGATACACAAACAAAAAAACCAACTTTTTATTACTTCCTCCTTCCTTTAAAGGGAGATGAATACTGCTTTTTCACCGTCCTCAATATGGGATGAGTTCTGACTCACATCTGCCAGTTTGGTCTACAGCATACTATTAGCAGATAGTCTGAACTTTCTAAAGACAGGAGAAACATACCAGAGTGAAAAATTGTGAGGAATCACTTTTAGAAGTGTTTAAACTCTGGGCTTCAAATATACCCAATCTTTACTATAGCAGATGATAGCTGTAGAGCTGCTTTCAGAGGAAAATCTTCCACTTCTTTCCATTATGCCGGTCAACCTACAAGAAGGACTTATCTAACTCTAACTTCGGTTCTTCAAAATGCAGGTATTTAGTATAATTGTTCAGGCATTTTTCAGTGTCAGTGGAAAGACAGGACCACGTCTCTCAGCAGAGAGATTTTTTTTCATTTTAAGATACCCAAGAAAGCTTGGTATAGCTTTCTGGAGGTGACAGCTGTTTTCAGATTGTATGTATCTTGAAATTTTCCTTTCTGTTTCAGACTGAAGAAGGGCCTGTGTGTCCAAAGGCTTACAAGTTTCTCCCAAATATATCATTTGAGCAAATAAGATATGCTCTTTTTTTCCCTACTTTAGAAGAAGAAAAGTTTCAAACACATATATGAAAACTTCAAAAGCAACCCAACATTTTGGGTAGGTCTACGTTTGCATTTCCAGTGTCGATGCCATAAAGGAGATTTAAGATGGTGATTGTTTAATGCTTTCCAAAAATCTGTCCCTTTTGATTGTATCTCAACTTTGGGGGTCCAATTGCTGACATGTTCAGCCATCATAACAATTACATTATTACTGTGATTGAAGAACGTCAAAGAATGTTGTGTGTTCTATATTAAATACTGGGGGGTTTTTTACACATTCTGTAGCTATGTGATATAGGTAAGGTAACTTGTACAGTGAAGTAAAAGGAAGTTTCGGAAGGAAGAAAAGCTATTATTTCTAATGAGAAGTCAAACAAATGTACACTTAGAAGACATGCAGAATGGCAATAACTCACATTCTCCAAACAGTGAAAAAATTGTATTTTTTTATATTATATTATCATTTATATTATATTATATATTATCAGCTATAAGATGCATTTATGAAAATTTTCACTAACCTGGGCACTCCATCTTTTGTGTTCCCTATCGAGTTGATTTATCAGTACCTCTGCAGCTTTCAACGTTTTCTGAGCTTTACTCAGTTCTGCTTCAAGTTTTGCTGCTTCTGTTGTTCTACTCTGGAACCTGTAAAACAACTACTGTTTGTAATTGGCTATCAAGAACTACTAAACTTACGGACAGTTTAATTGAATTTGTAATGAGTTCCTCCCTTATTGTTCATAAAGAACACAACTACAATTCTTTTTTATACCTTCTGTTTCTAATTGGCAGAAGAGCTTAGAATTACTAACAAAATTTAGATAGATGCATAGGTGAGATTTAAATATACATTTGCAATAGAGACCATAATGCCTGAAAATCATTCCTTCTTGTACTTAAACAGCCTGAATTGATTTCAGAGATTGTGTTAAGTTTTGTTCTGCATCTAGTCAGGACAATAGCAGGCTCAACACCATACTCTACATTTGTAACTTTTTGGTAAATTTAACCTATGAAACCTTTAAAGGGGAATATTGCTAATTCACACGGATGACCCCAGTTCAATGCACAGTACTCTACTTTGTAAAACACAATAAAGTAAGAACATGCCCCAAACAACAGTCAAGGTTTAGGTATCATTTTGTAATGTCTAATATCTAATTAGCTTAATATTAAATTAAAATAATTAATGCATTTAATAATCCACCTTTTTAAGTAATATATTTAACTGTAATATACAGTATATAGTATTTAGTTAATCTAAGACATCACTATATAACTGAATGACAAGAATTCTCCAATTATTTCTTTTTGCAGACTACAAACCATGACTTTTAATGATATGCACATATGTCAGTTGTAAAGTATCTCCTATACTAACTACATAATAGAAACATCAAACTGAAAGACTTGGATTAAACTGAATTTGGAGAAAGTATAAAGGTTCACCACAGCAATTTTTATGCCACTGTGAGTAACGTACTTGATGAGATGCTAAGAAAAAAGGAGATAGATAACTAGCTGTCAGAGAAGTTGGCCATCCTAAGAGAAACAGAACTGCCTTTATTCAAGCTGTAATCAGTAGAAGTCTTGTATAGGAATGTTTGCAAAGTCCAGAGGAGACATTAAAGTCCTCTTAGATTTAAAAGGTGAGAGACATACTGCTTATCTTTGACATCTACAATGTCTACACCGAAGACTTCCAGTACAGTCAGTAGTGAGAAGCAGGTACTTTGAAGGAGCATTTCATCTGACTGATGAGATGAACTGTATTCTAACAGTGTTTATTTATCTCCACTGAGTGTATAGATAGCCTAATTATCACTACTTCTGATGTACACATCTTGCAGAGCAGGGAGTTACATTTGGTTAGATAAATTTCATTATTCACAGCATAAAATCTTCAATGTTTTTCTTAAATCTTGAAATAAACAAATCCAACTTACTTATCTTTCAGTTCTGATACTTTTTGACCAACAGAGTTCAGAAGATCTTCTAACTTCTGTTTTCTGTCTTCAGTTTTCTTGAGATTACTACAAAATGTAACATTTACTTTAAGACTATGAATCCAAAAGAAAATAAAGAGTAAATGTAACAGGAAAGTTATTTACATACAAATAGTTTGGAGGCAGTTCTTTCTTGTGATTTATATTAACAAAAATGTTTTAACATGTAAAAGTTTTGACTACTTCTCATCAGATAGCTTTAAAAACGGAAAGCAAACACCCCATGCAAATGTATTCTTAAAGATAAGAACAAATTCTTCCAATATGGAATTTTAAGATCTAGCAAAACCATCAGTTATAGATTCCTCAGGTTATGGGTAGTCATAAGGCTATGTCATACCTTTTTGATCCTAATGAGAAACTGATTATGCTTGGTACATAACTGAAAAAAACCAAGGTACTACACATCTCAAAATAGCATGGATTTCACTGACAGAATACATTTTAAGCATATCTGTGATGTTCATTTCTTCCTGACACATTTCAGCTGAGACAGGTAACTTTTGATTGGCCAAGGCATAGCTTCCAGGAAAAACAAAATATTGCACACTTACTTTTTCTGTCTCAGCATGAACATTTTATTACCTACGGATGACATACAATTTCTTACATCTTTTGTTTTTAATAAACTTAAATTCCTCCTTGGTGGCTTTACTTTCACCCACATCCAGTGGAATTAAGAACATTTATTTTGTAACGGTGTCTAACTTACGCTTCCAATCCAGTCTTTTCTTTTTCCAAAGGCTGAATGCGTTCTAGGACATGGGAATACTGGACATTGGCATTCACCCAAGCCGCTAAAGGAGCAGCTGCAGCACTGGCTCGTTTAGCATTCTGAAAAAATCAGTAATAGTTACAAAAAAGTCCTTGAAGTATAATGTAGATGAGACAAATACAGTATAAATAAATGTAACAGATTTACAAGTTATCAATTTAAATATGCCAATTAACCAGCTCCTTTACTGAACTCATCTTTTAAATTGTTTCTAAGGGATTATATTGTAGGCAATCAATCTGTGGAAAAAAAAAAAAATGGCTATCTTTACAACTATGAAGCTTGACTGAAGTTACGAAGTTTTAAATTAATGCATAATTTATCACTGTGTTCCTTCTCAGGGAACTAGAACTCTCCTTCTAAAAATAAGGATCTAGTATTTAAGAATCTTCTTCATTATAAGGGTGGCAAGAGCGTGGAATAGATTGCCCAAAGAAGTTGTGTATGCCCCATCTCTGAAAGTGTTCAAGGCCAGGTTGAATGGGACTTTGAGCAACGTGGTCTAGTGGAACATGTCCCCGCCCATGGCAGGGGGCTTGGAACGAGATGACCTTTAAAGTCCCTCCCAACCCAAACCGTTCTATGATTCTATAGTTCTATGAATTCCTTTTCATAGCCAAATCAATTCTCAAATATCACCCATACATATAATCACCACTAGTCCACCTTTTTTAATTAAGCATACTATTAAAACTCTTATTGCTATAAGGAGGCCAGAAGGAGCCAGTTAGAATTCCTTGATCTGAGTTCTAATTTATACCAGTGACAAAAATCTCTAAGGACTTGACTCCGTAATGACTTCTCATCCCACCACTCCCCAGTCACCAGCAAAATTCTCACTTAGAGGCAGTACGCAACAGAGTAATCTCTGCTACACTTTTATTTCTTTATACTGACAAATTCTGTAAGCAGAATTCAGTATTTTTTCTCTAATTTAGGTTCATTCTAAAAAATTATGTTGGCAAATCAGACAATCATGTCTTTTTTTTTTCTTTTTGTCTTTTTTCATTTTATGTCATGCCATCAGGAATTACCTTTGGATCAAAAGATGTTCTGTTTTTAGAAAGAAGTTCTTCAACACTCTCTCGTATTTCTTTTGGAATATTACGGGCATCAAAGGTTGCTATGTCCTCCCTCACACCTCTTTTGGCCAAGAAACTGTAAAAAGAATTAAATAACTAAGTAAAGAAGAAACAAATGTTAATGAGGTTACTTCCCTATGAAACCAAAGAATTCTGCACAAATGTTATTCCTGAATATAATAGAAAGTATTTCATATTGTAAATTACTGTTTAAGTTTAAAGTTTAAATAAAATCCTCACCTCTTCATGCTCACCCATGATGTATCAAAAATCCCCATCAATCGTAAAACTCCTTCTAGTATGTCTCTGATTATGTCAGGAGGCATCCGTAGTGACCGGATTTCTGACAAAGACTCTGGCTTTATATTTCCAACTGCTAATTTAGCTTCATTAACCAGTGGCTTAAAACATAAGAACACATTAAAAAATAGATGAGGAGACAAGAAACTGAACATTTGCCATTTCAGTTTTCATACAATTTGTTGTTCTTTTTACATATT